ACCTTACTAGGGTCGGGTCTGAGCACGGCCCCTATCCCAACCCCCTGACCCCACATTGACCCATTGTCTAGTGTTCGCCTAGATTATATATGTTTCAAAAATTATTTTCTGCTAGCTAACCAAATACCAGAAAATAAGTAAGAAAACCACTGATTTTCAAGAAAATATTTTCCAGGAAAATCATTTTCCGTGGAAAACATTTCCTTCATACCAAACACGCCTTAAATGTATTTAAGAATTTTTCGTTCATATCCAACTCTGTTGGTATAAAAGAAAGTATCAGCTGCATATTAAGTGTCTTACCCTGGATATACACAAGTATAATTGTTTTAAGTCAATTGTTGTCCAACACAAATGAAGCACCACCACTCAAGAGATGAAAAACTACATAAACAACTAATCTGCAAGTGAACCGAGAAGTTATGCCAAATTTGTTCTATCTTAAAGTAATCCTTCAATTGCCCTCACAGCAAGATCTACTCATTCAAATTATTTATAGAGTTAGCATTGTCTTATGTAACAGGCAATTGACTAAGTATTCAATTTGACAGCACAGGCAGAAGCAAGGGCAAAAGAATATTTTAGAATGAAATATATATGGAGAGTAGAGATGTATTAGGGCCATAATGACATACCTGCTGTTCTGGTCCCTCAATACGTACAAGTTGGGGCCCTAGTGCGGGTGGTACAAAACCCAAGCTATAATCAAGAGGTGTCTGCAGTGGCAATTGTGAGCCTGCATATACCTCCGGCTTTGACTGATCATACACACGAGAGGCACCAGATACCTCAAAAGGTGATATATTTTCAGATCCATGCTGGTGTGAAAGCGAATTATCAGGATAATCACCTCCCTGAGCTGCTGAAGATGCATCCTGGTAGCTGCAATTAGTTCTGTATGTTGATGAGAGGTCAAGTATAAGATATAGAGAAAAGAGTACTCAGTGTACCGTTACTGTCCTACAGACAAGCCCAGGATAAGCATAATGACGTGGTCATCCTTGTGTGACTATAAGCTACACTAGAAAAAATCTTGACAGTCCAGAGGGAATTTTGTCATGGAATCTTCATCAAAATGTTATACATGATTACAACAGAATATTGGCATGCCTTCAGACCACAACAAATCAGTAAAAATGCTTCAGTAGAGACACATTAGATATATAAAATCATAAATGAATACAAAAGCATGACATGTCACTCCGTTACCGACCTCCCGGTTTCCATGGAAGTTCTATCATTAGCTGGAACAGTCTCCACAGGCACCGAGTCTTTGCCGCAGCTTATGCTTGGATCAAAGTGTGGATCCAAACTACCGAAAGTCAATCCACTCCTAAAAGATTCAGGTACTTGAAGATGATTCGGAAAAATAACGGGCTGACAACGGGAAGAGATGTTTAACTTCTCCAATTTCATGTCAAGCTGTGGAACTGCTTTTTCCATGGCAGAATTTAGTTTAGAAAGTGAAGGTAAATGGGCTCCCTTTGCAACAGCTGCAGCCTGAGATGGCAATACTGCATAAAATTATGATAAAGTGAGATCACCAAGAAAGGAAAGAAAAAAGAAAGTCTGAATCACAAGAGTCTTCTTCTGTTGAAGTTTGGCAAAATGCCAAAGTCCCACATTGGTTGGGAGTTAAGTTTGGGGGAGATT